GTCACAAACATTAATATAAACATTCAGCAAAAATATATAAACTAGAAATTTAAAGAAACTATTGGCATCAATGTATAGTTTATTTTTAATTCCATTGAAAGTTAATTGTTAATTTCTGTTCCAAAAAAGGTTATAACTATGTAGTGACATGGTTATATTTAGATGTAGTTTGTTTTTAGTGAATCTGCATAATAATCTGCATACACAGGCAGCCTGAGAGGTGGGTGGGTGGGGGGAGATTAAAACAGCAACATTTTTCTTGGAAAGTCAAGATGGTCGACACCACCGTGCCTATATCACTTCTTGTAGACTGTCCAATCATCAATAAACAAAGCACAGCTCTTAAAAGAAACAACACTGAAAATTTAGAATGGTATCTTGAACCAAACTTTGTTTCATGTTTTTTTTCTTTTCTGTTTGTAATTTTCAGACATTTCCTTTATGATAATGTACATCAATAGTTATAAGTAATGTTAATACAGTTAAACAAACAAAAAAAACTTACTACCAACATAGGCGCTACACATGAAAAGATCAGGTCACCCTAGGAGAAGATGGATTGATGAGGTTAAAGAGCTCCTACATCGACACAGAATGACAATGGCAATTGCTGCCCATCTATAAATGCATCACAAACTGTTCCTTCCATGAGTCTTAACAGCAAAAGTGAAAACTGATGGTGATGATGGCTGGCATATCTGGCAGTTGGTGCTAGACCAACGTTTATACAGACCAATCAGTATTAGACAGGCAATCTGGTCAACACTGTGCCAGCCACCTTGACTTCCCATGGCATTGTCTGATACTCATTTTAGGCTGGGCTGACGTGGGAGCCAAGATCAGTTTATAACATCCCTGTGTGGCTTCCTGGGGCTCTAATGAGGAGGGAAAGAAAAGGGAGAGACCCACTGTTGCCTAACAAGCAAATCATAAGAGCTGACTCATTAAGGGTGTAACCTTCAAAGTCAGAGCACATCTGCCTAAGAGGAGAAGAACCAACAGTCTGCATAAAAAAGCCAGATCTATAACGCACAAATCAAGTTCTTGAACAAGACTAAAGTCTAGAAGTGGACAAACAACCAGAACTTTCTGCCGTAGTTTACACCAAGTGAACATAAGGAAGCGAAGAAGAAGAAAATTTTCTAAAAATCCATTCTAAATTTAGATTCAAACCAGGCTTTTCCCCGTGTGGAAGCAATGGCATACGATACCAGCACCATGTTTTTAGCCATAATTATTTTAGTGCTCCTGCAATAGGTACTTTCTGGTGAGTTGTGGCCATTTTAGACACTGTTGTAAGTACCGCAGTAATTTTTCAAGAAAAAAGGTCTCATTCGAACTTAAGACCTTCTGTGTGGCAGGTAAGCAACAACTTAACTATGTAAGAAGAAAAAACCAACTAATAAAAAAATATTTAATCAGAAAGATGAATTCATTATCTTCTTCTTTTCTCTACTCCTGGAATGCCTCACAGCGTCAGGGGAGGAAGAGATCTCTAGAACGGGCCTTTTTGTTCATTTTGTATATAGTACTTTTCAGTGTCTCTGATATTTCCGCGGTCCTTATCCTTAAGTGGTCGACCTCTGCTTCCGTTACCACTGTATCTGTATAACTCTGCTCTCTGTGGTGCCATGTCTGCTGCAAATCTTGTTACATGGCCAAACCATTTGATTTGTTGTCTACCTATAAAGTTGGGTATTGGTTCTGTGCCAATTCTCCTGATATCATCATTCCTAAGTCGATCTTTCTTCCTTACACCTAACATAGTACGCAAACATTTCATTTCTGTTGTGACTATTTTTCTTCCGCCTTCTAAAGACAGTGTCCGTGTCTGACATTGATAGCAGAGGTTAGTAAGAATATTGTTAAACAGTGTTCTTTTAGTGTTCAAATTTACATGCTTGCATTTCAAAATTGGTGCCATTTGACCTAAAACTTGATTGGCTTTATTGCATCTTTGTTGGATTTCTTTATTTATTCTTCCGTAATAATTCATTACCAAAGACAGTTAAACCCTCAGTATTTTAACAGTAAAATTCACATCCCAAAATGACATGCAAGAAATATACCTACTATTACAGTTTTACTACATGTACACAAATATTTGAAAGTTACCATGCTTTCCTATTTACAAATGTTCAGTGGATGCACTTGACCACACACAAAAATTCGCTTTCACTCAAGATTACATATTACACTTGTACAGAACAACAAAATGATTTCAGCCCTGATTGACAACTTACGTATAATGACTCTTGCGTATAATGAAAAAAAAAATAGATACACAGGATGTCTAGAAAGTACTTCTGAAATTTCTGACCATCATAATTTAACTCACTACATGCAAACTCAAATGATAATAACAGCTGAAAGACAAAATCTGTGTACATATAAAAAGGATGGTAGAGAGATAATTTGCAGGAAGACCCACACACTTGGAGTCAGCAAGTGTAAAAAGAAAGCTAATCAGACAGATGAACAGAGATGGGGATACATGCAGCAAGGAACCATTATAGGCTCGGAAAGCTGAAGAAGATACTTTAACTTATTCTGGACCAGGCAGTTTTACATTAACTTTTCCTAAATGGAAAAACTGTTAGTTTCAACTAATAACTGTTGCATCTGAAATAAATAAAATAAATAACAATATTGAGTAGTTAAAATTAAGTAAGGGGACCCCTGTCCATGCCTTCAGGCATGTTGGGCATATAGGGCTAGACCTTTATGTTATAGAACAATCGGTACTTGGTGGGTGATATGGTCAGCATTATGCTGGCCTCTTCACTTTACAGGACTGTTCCTGATACCCAATCAAGGCTGTGTCAACCTGGGAGGAAAGGTAAATAAAAATTTTTTTTTAAAGTCTAGCTCCACCAGGATCCGAACCAACAACCTTCGAATCCGCAAGCGTCTAGCTGCTACATCAGGTGCCCCCCCCCCCCCATACAGAGTAGAATACAGTTGAATTTATCATCATCAGTGTCTTGCCAACTGGCATGGGCGATCATGCCTTTCCAGAATCTGCAATCTGAAGCTGCGTGTATCAGGTTGTGTGTTGACACCCCTTCATGACATGACAAAAGGCCGCCAAGAACCTTCTCGCGTTATCTTTCTCTGTCTCTCTTTTCACAGATTTTTTCCAGTGGTCACAACATGCTCCATTTTCACTCTTCTCAAAACATGACCCAAAAATGGTGACTGTCTTTTTCTGATGTTTGTGATGTTGTCTCCGAGCACTCACCGATTTGAAAACGTCTGGGTTTCTCTTCTTAGCTGTCCAAGGAATTCTAAGGATTCTTCTGTAAAAACACATCTCCAATGCCTCAAGATATTGTTCGGCTAGTTTATTAACTGTCCAGGATTCACGGCCGTATGTTGAAACTGGCTCTAAATAGCATGTGAGAATTCTTTTCCTAACCTCCAATGACATGGATTTACTGCAAAATTTTGTTCGTCATTTTGTAAAATGCAGTTTTGGCTTGTCCTATTCTATTCTTTATCTCTGTGATACATCTTCCATCAGATGTTATCAATGTGCCTAGATACTTAAATTTCTGTACTTGTCCCAAAATAACACCTTTGATTTCTATGACACATTTAAGTACTATTCTTTTCTTGGAAATCACTATTACTTCTGTCTTTCCCTTATTCAAACTGAGGCCCATTTTATCACTTTCTACCACCACTCTATCTATCAATTTCTGTTGTTCTTTTTGGCAGTTCTGACGATGTCATCAGCATAAAGCAGGTTGTTTACAGTTGATTTAACGACTGAAATTGATGGGGGTTTTGTAATAACTGGGTGGGAGGCAGAAACGATGAACCACACATGGTGATGCATCAGGACCCTTACAGGTCATGACCTATTTACACCTCTAGACGGTCATCCTAGAAACTGTTTCCCATCCAGGAACTTGGCCAACGCAGACAATCATCATCAACATCTAGTGCCTTGCCATATGGCAAAGGCCTTCACACATCTCCACAGATCCCAGCCTTCAGTGTTCTGGATCAACTGAACTGATGATATTACTCCATGCCACTGTCTTGAGCCATCCATTATAATTTCTCATGGTCGGCCGTTGCCTTTTCTACCAGTGATCTTTCCAGATGTCACAATACTTCTCAGTGCTCCTTTTCGCATCACATGACCAAAGAACTTTGTTGGTCAACATAGAGGATTGAAATTTCCTTTCAAAACTGCATCTGCTTAAGAGGCAAGGAGCCAACAGTCCGCACACAAATAAACTAGATTTAAAAAATGGATGTGCCCACAAAACTTAAATCCTGGAACAAGACCAAAGTCCCCAATACATGGACAGACAACAAAAACTCTAGCCAGAGTTTACAGCCAGTGAAGGTGAAAAAGAAGTAATAACTGGATAGACAGCAGGAGTTCAGAAAAGATATCAAGTAAAGAGGAACCAAAAATGCAGGGTGGGTGGGTGAGTTCCTAGGTACTGTATGAGTGAAGATGCCACCAATACCAGGAGTGGGAAGGAATGAAAGCTGATTTACTGGCTACAAAAGTGACAGCTAGAGGAACACTCGTACTGGACAAAGGAGACATTATGCAGACCATTTAGGAATGAATGCTGACAGAAGACATGAGGTTAGACCAAATAATATATGTAAGAATGTGTAAATGAGGAACTGGGTGTGGATCCATCAAGGAGGGAAGTAGAAGAGGAAGAGACGCAGCATCCACAGATGGAGGAAATGATTAAGCTAGGAGTGAATAGAAGGTCTGGATGACTTTCTGTCCACATGGGGGAAAAAAACAGTTCATCTTTCAATCTTTCCTTGGCTTCTGAGGAGAAGGACAAAGCCCCTATGGGAATGTCCCGAGTGCAGTGATTCATTTATTCATGTCATAAAATTTGAAACACCAATACAAATAAAATTATAAACACTTCCAACCTCAGAAGAACTTTTTGGACAACCTGTGCACACACACACACACACACACACACACACACACAAAACCATGAAGAGAACTATTACTCTAGACCCAAAAACCAATTAATAACTTGAACTATCCCAATAATTACTGGTTGCCATGCTACTAAATATCGAATCCAGTCCAGCAGATTTCCATACATCACGTGTGGCCGCTCCCATCTGATCGCAGGTCAAGGATAATCACTGAAAGAGTTTCATGAGATTAAGTGCTTTTCAAGGTGCATGATGAAGTGATTAGGCCATTTTCCTGGTACTCTAAAAGACCTGATTTGTGACTGCAGGTGTTTCTAATATGATGAGATATCAAATCAAACAAACAAAACAGAACCAGTCAGTTTCACAGTATCAAAATCACAAACGACAAGTTAACGATGTGGCTAATGAGCCTTCATCAGCACATGACATAAGTTTAATGCTACAAGTAAGAACCACAATACATGAAATCACTTAAGTGAGGCATCTACAATAGAAATCACATTTCTGTTTGGCAAGCAGAAAATAATCTGACACCTGTATGGCCACCGTAAATAAATACTAGCCAGAAAAAGCTGCGAGTGACAAGGGTGGTAATGTTTCCAAAATATCTAAGGGCTGCTTAAGCTACAGAGTTCATGCTTTCTGCGATGCTCTTGACGGGCAACCAGCTGCTCTGCAGATAGAGGCTGAGCCATGTGGGATAAAAACCAGGGCAAAGAAAATAAAGCCTCTCCTCTCGCCATTTAACATCCTTTAAGATGTTGACACTGACAGCTGCCTGATAATTAGTCTACTGTTTTGTCTGACTGTCAAATGACAGCTGCCTGATTAATTAGTCTACTGTTTTGTCTGACTGTCAAATGACAGCTGCCTGATTAATTAGTCTACTGTTTTGTCCGACTGTCAACTGACAGCTGTCGGATTAATTAGTCTACTGTTTTGTCCGACTGTCAACTGACAGCTGCCTGATTAATTAGTCTACTGTTTTGTCCGACTGTCAACTGACAGCTGCCTGATTAATTAGTCTACTGTTTTGTCCGACTGTCAACTGACAGCTGCCTGATTAATTAGTCTACTGTTTTGTCCGACTGTCAACTGACAGCTGCCTGATTAATAAGTCTACTGTTTTGTCCGATTGTCAACATGTTTGGCTGCATTTGTGAATTTTTTTTTCTTTTCTTCTCAGTTAAGCATTTTAGTCATACTTTGTTTTCTTCTTCTTCGAGTTATGGGACTGTAAACTCCAGTGAAAAGTTCTGGTTGTTTGTCCACTTCTGAACTTTGTCTTGTTCCAGAACTTGACTTTTGGGTGCACATCCGTTTTACACAACTGGCTATCTTATAAGCAGACTGCTGGCTCCTTGCCTCTCAGGCAGAAGCACTCTATGAAGGAAAAACCCTAACCAGTCACCTTTTGTGACATCCTTGTTTGAAGAGCAGCAGGTCTATTTTTTTTTTTTTTATAAATGGGCTCCAAAACCCACATGAGAATAGTTTGTTTTATCTTTAGATACTTTTTAGTTTGTTTCCTAAAAACACCAGCCATTTTCTCTGGTATAAAGGTTAAAATAGTAACACTGAGATGAACCAGGTCTGCTTGAGCCAAAGGTGAATGCTGTAACCTCTAATCTAGCCCATTCCTAGTGCTGCTTATTGTTTCCACATACTACACATCCCTAAACCTAGGATAGACCTTTACAAAACAAGTTTGTCATATTCTGCATCTCAATTGTGGAACTATCTACCACAGCAAATCAAAAGTACCACTAGTCCATATACATACAATCAGAAACTGTTCGAATACTATTTGAGCATCGATTATTTGTCCCCACAGAGGATAAAACATATGTGAAAAATAGAGCTTATTTTCCTTAGATTTGTTACAACTAATACGTTTTACTGTATGTAGAAATGTGCACATCTCAGTGCTTGTATTGATTATTTTGATGCTTTTGCTAACTTTTAATATTTCTTGATGTGTGATTGAAATGATGTAAGAATGGAGGGAGACCTCAAAGGGCAGAATGTTGGACAGGCCTGCATGCCCAATTCTTAACCCTTTAAAAATAAAGTTTGTTCGTTCATTCATTCGTTCCAGGGTTACCATTTGGAGTTGGAGCAGACACTCGGTCAGCTCAGGATTACTGGCCAGACAACAGGCAGTCACAGCAAGTTACAAACTGTATTCACCTCTTTTGTAACATCTTCAACTCTGTAAACAGAAATGATCAAAACAACAAGAATTAATCAATTCAATTCTGCAAGGATACGGTCCTGGGAACATACGCTTGAGATCCACTTTCTCCTTACAGTATGGACACGTCTGCTTCTTACCAACAATGCACCAGCCTCGTATACAAAATTCATGAAAACTGTAATCCATTAGTTAAGGAAGACATTTTACTTCGTAAACTAGAACGACAACAATCAAACAGACATATTTTAACCCTGAGGGCCCATGTAACCTAAATCTAGTTACTTCTGGTTGCGATACACTCCCTGTATATGCTGAAAAACGTAGTTAAATGACCCTGTTATATTTGCGCCTTAGCAGCACCAATGAGGCCTAGAACTCACTATACTTACTAAAAATGGCATTTGGGGTGGTTTCCTTGTGAACTAAATAAAAAGCACAGCACGAGTCACCTTCTCTCTCTCTCTCGCCCAATTTACATATCTCTCTCTCTCTCTCTATATATATATATATATATATATATATATATATATATATATATATATATATATATATATATATATATATATATATATATATATATATATATATATATATATATATATATATATATATATATATATATATATATATAAACACACACACATACACACGCACGCACACACACAAACACACACTCACATATATATATAAGCTGGGATGCCAGTTTTGATTTGAGCAAGCAGGTGATTTGGCAGCATTAGTTTTGGTAGTAGTGTCAACAGTCGACTGTTAAGAAAGCAATGGCAAGCTACTGGACGTAAATGTGTCTTAAATAAACCACAACAATCGCTTGGGTTGGTTGTGCAACGTCCTGTAAACGTTACACAAACTAACTAACTGAATGCTGCACTCTTTTCATGTTTATTGATTTTAACCTTTTTATATCTTTAAATATTTTGAGAGACAATTTGATAAAATGGAATGAGAAGGGCAACCAGAGAGATGAGTGGGGGCAGGCGATATCTGCAGCAATGAACCTCAAGGGCTCGAAATGCTGAAGAAGAATAAGATTTATGTCTGTGTAAAATTCATTTTAAAAAAAGGATTCAGGGGGGGGGGGGGGGGGGGGGGAATTCCCACATATTTTTGTGTCTGTTTAGTGTTCCTCGTGCAAAAGGGTTGAGAGAATTGTCTTGTAAGGGTGCCTTGTTGGCTCAGTGGGTAACATGTCTCCTGTTGGCCCAGTGGCCATTAGTTCAGAAACACAAGAAAGTGGCATATTTAAAATTAACTGTACACCCATGTTGACACCATCTAAAAATTAGCAAAAAAATGTAACAGGCATATTCTTCTACTTCTTCGTCCTAGATGTTTTGAAAGGGGTTAAGATCCAAAGACAACTTTCCAATGGCTGGAGAGTAGCACTGCCTGACATGTAACTGAAACAGACCAGCTCAGCCTGCTCCACAAATCAGACACCAGTCTTCTATGTCTCAAGTGGCTGGTGTGTCTTGAAAAGACTCAAATCAGGTGCACAGCATGGATTTTCTTCCCAAGACATGAAGATATCTGGGGTAATGAGCAGGCAGATAGACTGGCTACTAATGCTGTCTGGGCAGAAAGCTACTTTCAGATAAGACAAATGTGGCTCTCTGGGATCGAAAATTAGTGCAGCAGAATACACAAAGAATCAATACTTATTCAGCAGGGAGAAAGCAGATCTAGATGACACTCATAAAGGAGGGGAAGAGACAGATGTGTTTCAGTTTGAGGCAGGCACCATCAGTATAGTATCACAGGAATATTCTGATGTCAGTTTGTTATCTATTCATTGACAGTCAGATGACAATGATACACATAGACACAGACATCATCAGTATGGAAACTCTTCATGGGCTTCTAAAGAAGAGGACAGAGTACATGTGGGAATGTTCTAATGCATGATGTCAATATTTAATTCATTCACAATTTAAAGAAACTGCAGAATAGGGTTACCCCAGTCAATCTGGGTACTGAAAATGGGAACACAGCATGTGAGGCAATTTCAGAGTGCAAAGGTGCCAATTCTTCATTAATTCATTCACACAAGCATGTACAATGAGAGCCAACAAGGATACATGTGGCCACAGTTGAGTTTGATGGTTTTCTCAATGACCGCATCTTCATTGTTCATGATGTAGATCTCATTGCCACACACAGCACACATGTTTGGGTCCAACCTCTTGGCTGGCAAGCCAGTGGCTGAGTAATACTGCAATGATAAAAGTGAATAATTAGTGTTGTCAGGTTAACCAAGAAAAAGGAAATATCACAATGATCTAACCGTTAGCTGGCCCCTTTCCATCTTTCCAGACAACAGTGTTATATTGTGCCATAAACAGAAAGGCATGAGATCTTTTTCTCCACAACACAAAGCCTGGATAGTATTGTAGAGACCATGTGTTGCCCATGCTGCATGATCCCTCTCTCAGACTGCCTTGTTTACTCCAAAGGAGTAAACCGGCAATTAGTCTAGGGGTATGATTTTTGCTATGGGTGCGAGAGATTCCGGGTTCAAATCCCATCTTGGCAAAGAGTATTTTTGCCGGTACATCAGAGTTCGTGCATTGCGCTGGGATTATTCAGACTCAGGCTTGAGTTAGAAGTAGAATGGAGCACTTATGGGTTTACACCCATGTGCCACGATGTTGATCCGTCGACTAACTAAACTAAGGAAATAACACCAATACATCTAGAGCAAAGAATGTGACAGAAGCATGCAGCTTGCTACAGCTGACCAGCATAAAGCTTTAAAAATTGTGATAACTGAAAAACAATGTCAGCTTTACAGGGAGAAAATACAACAAAAAAAGTTGTGGTAACAGGCCTTCACACCAGCAAACAGCAATAAGGAAAAACAACACAAAACACATGCATGTACGCATGCACACGCACACACACAAAAGAAATAAAATGACACTGAAGCAATTATATAATGTCACCAAAATAAACTAATGAAATGAAATAATAATACAAGAAGTAAATAGTACAAGACAGTGACAGACTGTTCATGACCAGGTCAGACACACAAAATAGTATGTCGTTTTTAAACTGCACCTTCAAACTCCACTCATACTCTTGCTGGACTGACAGATATGCATCATCAGGCTAGACCTTCCTTCGCTGATGAATTTCTACAGGTTTCATCCTTCACTGATGTAAAAAAAAAAAAAAACAGATAACAGAATGCTGCTCCTCTTTGCTGCATGTTAAAGTGATGTCAGTGTGTTCATCTTCACCATGATGTCAATGGTATGGTTACAATAATTTCTATCATACTTGTAAGGTTATCATTTGAAGTTCCCTTGTTTGTGTGTATATATAGATTTGGGTAGTCCCATGACGAGACTGTCCCCAAAGACTGTATTCAGAAGAGCAGGATTACCACAATGTACTTTTTAATGAAGCAAAGATGTCTGAGCTGGTCTGACAAGTTTCCCACATGCAGGGTAGTCGTATTCTAAAGGATCCTCTGTATTTAACTAGTGTACATGTAGTGTCACCTGCCTAGCAATGCCTATGAACAAACACTTTAGTTACTGAGTGAGCTACACAGCTCCAACTCTACTGCAAAGAGGTGGCCTTATAATTGCTCTGTTTCTGAAAATAACAACAAAATGTCCCTCACTGTCCCTTGTGATAAAACTGAAACAGGCTGCAGTTTCAGCAAAGCTAACAGCATACACACACTTAAAATGCATAAGACAGCCATTAAAAGTGCTAACAGTCCACCACTAGAATTACAGCTGATCATCAACAGAAGCAGCAGTTAAACAAATCAGCAGTTGTGCATGCAATATTACATAAGGCACAGTCAGTTCTGTGGCAACCTTTATCTGCCTCAACACCTGAAACGGTAAAAGAGGAAGTGAAGAAGAGAAAGAGAAGCTTCAGTCCAATATTTACACTTATTAATCCACCAATAATCTACCAAAGAAGCATTCTCATCAAGATCAACTGCTCTATCCCAATTTCCGATGGTGGGCTAGTTATACTACACAACATACTTTACAACCATCATACCCCTATATGAGATCCCATAGTGTCTGCACAGACTTAAGAAAAGTCCTGAGAAACAACTCCAAAGTACGAACCATGAAAGACATCTTAATAATAACTAGAGTACCAAAACACTGATTACAGTAAACGTAAAATGTTCTATGTAAAATGTTCTATCACATTTAATATAAAGCACACTTTACAACCAACATACCCCTATATGAGCTGCCATGGTATCTGCACAGACTTCAGCAAAATCCCGAGACACCACTCCAAAGTAGAGCCCATAAAACAGCAGCAGGAGGCCAAAATCCATGGCCGTCTGTGGCTTGACCATGATCAGCATGTTGAGGCCAAAGATGGTGAACATGATGACCAGGTAGCCCAGGATCCCTGAGGCATAGCTGACTTTATACAGGAGCAGAAACCATTTGTACACCCACCTGCCGATATAGGAATAGGCGTACATAAACATCATACATAAACACACACACAAACAATGCGTATTAAAAAAAACAGGAAGACTGCAGTCAAAATGAAAAAAAAAAAAACCTTCAAAATAACCCTTAAGACTCCCAGTATACATAAAGGAAGCTGAATAGTCACGAAACACGAGGCAGACCAAGAAGTAGATGGAGAGACAATATCCAGACGGACTTACAAACACTTGGTGTAACCAAGTGGAAAGAGAAAGCCAACTAGAGAGATGAATGGAGGTCGGTGAAATCCACAGCAAAAAACGTCAAGCACTCAGGACTCGAAGAAGAAGAAGGAAAAGAAGAAGAAGAAGTAGGAGAAGAAGAAGAAGGGAGGAGGCGGGGAGAGTAGGAGGAAGGGGAGAGAAGAAGGAGGAAAAGAAGAAGGAATCTTTTCACACCACTGGCACAAGACGCAAACAGTGTTAGATCCATATTTGTGTCAACCAGCCAGTACTAAACTGATGATGTGGTCAATATAGTGCATTTCAGGCTGGGTTGATTCTGAGTAGTACAAATGGGATCCTGCTAGATCTGAGTGATGTAGCCTGTACCAAGGACCTCCATATGATGGTGGACTAACATCAAGTCTGATCTCAGTGATGCAGTTTGTGTCCATCAGCATCATCTGTTGGTGGATTAAGGTCCTGGTCAACCATGGTTCACTCACTAACACAATTAGTCAGGCAGTGAGTCGCTAAAGGCAATCAGCTCTTTGGTGTATCATCTGTGGTTGATACTGTTCGTCTATCACAAGTGACCAAGACCATTTAGCACCCAAATGTAGTAATGATCAATGATTGTGAGATGTCTGATGTACGCAAATTAAGCCCTGAAAGTTCTACAGCACTGAGGACAGCAGATGGAAGTGATAGTATAGGCAGGAATTGCCACCTGCCAGTGCAACCTCTGCTGTCTCGCAGGCTGATGCACCTTGCTTGAGGACAGTACATCATCCAGATCAGTCCTGTGCAACAGTTTCCAACATTTCTGTTTTAACGCCAAAAATTTAGGAGCAGTTTTAAGAGTGTCTTTATAGTATTTTTCTGTCCACCTGGGGATTTTTGGATATCCCCTCAAGCTCGAGTTCACCATAAAATATTCTCTTTGGAAACTGATGCTCTGGAATGTTGGCTATGAAAGCAGATCTGATATTTCTTCAATATTGTACGAATATTTGGCACACTAGTCATATTGAGAACCATATAGCCAAAAATCATGTCCTGCCATTTAATCCTGCAGTCCCAATTACTGCCAGCCATTCTAACACACACTCTTATTGGAAGAGCTTCTTTCACAGGCAAGCCCATATTCTCCCTGAAACATGTGATACAGATCAAATGTTGCAAACTTACACACACAGTCACCACATTACAGTCTTGAAAATACTGAAAATGGTGGGTAGCAAGTTTGCGTTTGGACTGATGAAACACCATGTGCAATAATTTAGCATGTGTATGGCCAGCTTATTGTGACTGACTATCTACTGCCATCAACAACCTACTGCATTTCTGGTAGTGACCATTGGTGTTGGCATCTTTAGCAGCTGCTTTATGTATTTATTGCATGTGTCTGTTTCTGGATTTTGTCAGGATGGCTCACTAGTTATCAAACGGGACAGTGAGGGGTTTTCATGTGATTTTCACTGGCACAGTAACGGAGCAATTATGGGATGACCCATGTCCACTGAAGATGAAACCTTGACTTCTACTGCTGCTGCTACTACTCAGTGTAATCTTCCACATCAAGATATCATCTATTAGCTAACTTCCAGCAACTCCTCTTGCACTGCCTGATGGTTTAATGATACCTTGCACACAAATTTAATTTATTCAAACCAAAATAGCAAATATTATGTTAAAATATGACAAATAAAGCGGGCATGTGTGGATCATATAGACAGAATGTTAAGAAAACTGACCGAGGGGTGGATCCAGACAGAGGCTTCCTGGATGCCTTGTATGTCACGTATGCTGTTGTCAAGGAGAAAACTGTCCAGAAGACACAGAAGCGCCACCACTCAAACTTGATGCTGATGATCACAGGAATTAGCCACATGCCTACCAGGGTGGCTTTCTGAGCACAGCAAACAAGACGAGGGTGTTGTAATATATCGCATTAAGCAGAGTAATATGTTCTATTATAATAGATTCTTTTTCTTCTTCTTCTGCCCTTAAACCCCCCCCCCCCCCCCCTCCCCTTTTCCCCCTATAGAGCATAACCTCAACACATTCATGCCAAGCCATTCTACCCTTTGGTATCGCATGCATATCATACTTTGTCTACTGCATCTTTTTTTACACTTTGTAGACTAATCGTCAGTTTAATGGCGTGGTAATTTAACCCAATCACACTAATGACCAGTTTACTGGCGCTTCATTGTGACACTCTAATTTTGTTCCGTCTGCTGGGAAAACCTTTCATTTTCTGGTCAGCATGGCGTTTGCCTCACTTTCTGATTACAAAATTATCTAGATGGAATAAAATTTTTATGTGATTTGTCCATATTAAATGATAAAGGAAAAGGTCTAGAACTGTTCATACTGCTCTGTTGTTGTTGAATCTCAGCCAGATAATGACAATAGTCTTGATATTATGATTGATAATGTATGTGCCAAAACTGTTTCAATAAAAGGGTTTAGGATGAAGACTGAACAAAATATATTTCAATCAGATCATCTGTTTGTTTTGATCAGCTGTTTTCCTGATTTCGGTTGTTGCAAAATCTGACATGTCATACAAAAATGGTCTTAACATCCAAAGTATTAAAATTAATTGTTTCAAATAAAGACTAGCTGATACATAATTGAACAGAGAAAGCATGCAAATTCTTAGAAATGGAAAGCAATTTTGCTGAACAAGTAAAAAGTAAGGTGAGCACAGTTTCTTTGTATAAATAATCTTTACATGTGTATAACATTCTTGAATGTTGTGCGATCGTAATAATATTTTTTTGTAATACTGACATTTAAATAGTTTAAATTTATTCTGCTCTCATTTCTCTTTAATTTAATTATTTTTATGTCCCTAAACAAATAAACAAAAGTAAACTATGTCACTATGCAGCCAATACTTTTTCTTCAAGTAGGTTTTAGCTTTGTCATGTTGCAGGAAAATAATCTGCTTAAAATTAATGCTGACCAAACCCAGAAAAAATGTGGCCCTGAAAGAGTTAACTTCGTTCTCTAGTTCCTTTCTCCACAGGTATTTGGGTCTACTTTTATTTCTATACTCTTTGTGAGTCCCAGTTTAAAGCCCTTCTAACGATATAATACATTATGTAAGGCAATATAACACAAGAAAATCTATTGCCAGCTCTCCTACCTCATGCACTCTCCTGCCCAAGGTGGCTCAATTCATGTGCCCATCTAGGTACTTGTCGGCCCCTGGGTCTCTAGCACAGAACCAGGCTTTCTGCTACTTTTCTTTGAAATCCTCCACAGTATTTATATGGCCACAGTATTTTGAATAGGATGCTGTTTATAAGCCAATTTTCCGTGATGTTCAGATCTTTTGTGATGTCAACATTTCTTTCCTTTTTTGTATGCTAAATATCTTTCTATAGTATTTCAGTTCAAAGGCCACTTTTTTTCTTCCCTAACTGGAAAGGGGGTTCATCTCACGCACTAACCGGTAAGGGTAATCTTCACAATAGCCTTTCATGTATGCTGCCAGCTGTCATGGAAAGGAACAGTTGGTGCTCATTATGTGGCACTGGTTATTGTCGTTACACGTAAATGTATATCTTTATAGTAATACAAGGGTGTCCCATAAGTTTCCATACATATGAAAAATAAACACATACCAATGAAATTACAAGCATAACTATAGCTGTGTTTATAAGTGTTTTTCAGCAGTGAAAAACACTCATCAAAATGTGTTTTTTGAAACTGTGGCTGTAATGTAGAGCAATTTACATAAATAAAAATAGTCTTAGTTAATTAGTTAGTTGACAGATTATCCTCATTGCACGTGGAACCACTCAGTCCATAAGTGCTCGGATCCCCTCCTCAGTAAATACCGCAGCGCGCACCGGCTGACGACACCAGTTCTTTGTTAGTTTATTATTCTTCCTTGGCCACCCGCGTAGTGTTCTTGTCTGGCGACACCCTGTTTAGCTTGCTCTTCTTGCAGTCTGACCATGGTTGCAGATTCACAGTTCTCAATTGGTTCAGGCAAACATCTTAAATCTCTGAGAGCATTCAGTATATCAGCCTCGTCCATGGCTTATCCAGCTTTCACAGTAGCATCACCTGCATACAATGTTTACTTTTCCTATGCATGGAAAATTATGATCATCTTCATGGACGCCATCTCACTCTTGTTAGATGTACACCTGTGTTGGTCAATAAAGTCAGTGCATTCTACTAAGACACCCAAGCCATGTGATCTTCTGCTTATTAAAAAGGGTCCTTATACACAGGAGTACAGGTTATACCTGGATGGTGTAGCTGTAAAGGTGCCCTAATTATAACTTCTTTGAAGGTTGAACGGATTGTCTGGGATCTTTTGGTCTACTGTCCAGACTAAGATTTTTTTTTTTAAATTTTAATTTCAGGGTGGTATAGTAAACCTTTAGGTAGCAGCCCTAAGGGGACAAACTGATCAAACCATCAATTAATCTAATTAAGGATCAATCTATCAATCAATCTAGCTCTCAATGTTTTTTGACAAAAGATGTTTTTTCCATGATCTGTCTAACTGTATTGTTATTTGTTTGTTTGTGTTCACCGGCTGTAGACCCCGCCGAGAAGATCTGGTTGTTCATCCATTTCTGGACTTTGGCTTTGCTCCAGGCCATGAGTTTTGCATGTGTAACTGTTACAGATCTTACTTATCTGTATGCAGACTGCTGACTCCTTGCTTTGCCTCCGACTTTGAAGGTAGCCCCCAATTAGTCAACTCTTACGACATTTATGTTGGGAAAGCAGCAGATATAACCAGCTTCTTATGGGGACAATTAGTAGAAGTACTTTGGAGTGGCTGCTGCTTCTGAGAACTGAGCATGCATGGGTATGCCCAATGTGCAGTGACATCAATTGTGATAACAAAACATAAAATAACATCTTAGTAGGGAGTCGGCAGTCCAAAACCCAAGTTCAAGGTGTCTCCTTCGTGCCAAAGAACTGCATGGCTGTTGGGTGAACAGTCGTTAACGATGGCAAGCAGGTCGTTGTAGGGGCGACGCCTGCTGGTGGATGTAATGTCCTAAGTCCCTTCCCCAGCTAATGATGAGGGTACTGCTGGGGTGACCGTTTATTAACCCTCATATAATGCTTCCGGTCAAAATGGACGCTAGGCACGGCCACTTTTGTTTGGTTTTTTTTAAAGCCGTGGCTGCCAGACTGTGGCCGTTGCATTTTTGCTCCATTTGTAGACAGGAAAGATGTAGTTTCGTCGCCCAGCTTCTGAGTTAAGTGCATGGCATGACACTGTGAGCTGCGTTTGTTTTTCATGGCACAGGAGCGGAGCAACTGTGGGGTGACCCGTTTGCTATGAAGCTGAAACTCAGATTACCAGATTACCAGTAGATTTATTCTTGTTTTCCCCACAATGGGACCCCGAACCCACATGGGGATCTAACTGTATTATTTCTCATTTGGTCTCAGATGGTTTAATTAACAGTTCTCCACAGGCCACTCACCTCACAAACGTGGGTTTACCTTTGTGTGCATTCCGAGAAGATGTCTACAAATCTGGCTGCTTCCCAAAACAATAAAGGCGGTACACTTAAAAGATGTTACAGTGTCATTTTTATCCATGTTTACCTGGTATGATCTGAAATGTCTGGCCTTCCACTGGACCAGGAAAATCTGGGCCACAACGAGTGTGATCAGCAGGACAATGGCCATCTCCGCATGCATGGACTCGTGCCCACGGTGCTTCTCGTGCAGCATCTGATGCTCCACCCTGTGTGAAATAAACTTTTAGCTGAACCAAACACAAGCAACTGTTTTTCATAAAAGTAAAAGAATCCTGTTCCTAACTCCACACTAGCGTATACCAGTTGGAACTCAAAAGTGTTTTTATACAACATCTAATGCTCTCAATCAATCAATCAGGTGCCATCTCCACAGTGAATGTTGGCTGCAATGGATCTCCTGTCACTTGTCCTGGTTGTACACTCTCTCAGACTGCTGCCAGCCCATCTCTCGATATTGTTCTCCCACTTGTATTGTTGTCCACCTCTTGCTCTCCTGCCTTTGACCTTTCACTCCAGTATGGTCTTCAAAAGCATGTTATGTCTCTTAATGTGGCCAAGGTATCCCAGTTGTCTCTTCTTTACTTCTTTCAGCAACTCTCTTCTCATCTGTAGTCCCCTCAGAACATCTGCATTAGATTCTTTTATTTTCCCATGAAATTTGACCTATTCTTCTGTATACCCACATTTCCAGAGACACAATTCGATTTTCTAGTTGCTTTTTATTGTCCAAGTTACTGCACCATATAGCAGGATTGTGTAAACATAACATTTGACAATTCTCATGTTTATTGTATATCTCTCTAGCTGTCAGAAATTAGCCATTCCTTTTCTCTTTCTGATTTCTGTTTCGCTTCTACCATCATATGTTACTATGTATCCTAGGTAGGAGAAACTGGTTACTTATTCCAATAGCTCTCCGTTTACTGTGATGTTCACTGTTGGCCGCTCTTTTCCATTGTTAATTAATATAGTTTTCGTTTTTCAAATGTTAATGTCTAAACCATGCTGTACACTCCATCTGCTGACTTGATCAACTAGTTCTTGTAACACCTGCTTGCTTTCTGCTGGTAGCACTGTGTCATCCATGTATCTCAGATTGTTTATTGTTCTTTCATTAATATTTAGTCCAGGCAATTCCTCAACTTGTTTACAAATGTTTTTTGTGTATAAGTCAAAAAGAAAAGGCTTGGGGATAGCACACGTCCCTGTCGCACTCCTCTTTTTATCTCTGTCTATGGTGAGGCGATGTTGTATCTGTTTTTTATTTGTTCCCATTATAGGTTACTAATAATTCTGATCTCCTTTCCATCTAATCCTATACTTTAGAGGCATGCTCTACCCTGGACAAAAGAATTTGTTAATCGAATTAAAGTACCCAAAAAATTTTTTTTTTTTAATAAATGATCATTTTTATGCCCTAGGTCAAGGCTAGTCAACTAAGTTTACTCAGAGGTCAAACTTTTGAAATTGGGGATTGTCACAGACCCAAGCCCCAGCACAGAAAGATCATTAACACACTACAACTGGCAATGATCCGTGGGCCATTTGCTAGGCCTCAATGGGGCCAAATTTGACCTGTGCACCGCCAGTTGCTGTCAACGTCTGTGGTTTAGGCGTTGCGAACACTCTTCATAATGAGGGGGTGCCAGGTTCAATCCCAGCTGCGGACCTTGCACTTTGCATTGGTTTTTACAGTGGTATCGAGAAGTCAACCGTTGAGAAAGCAATGGTAAACTACTAGACGTAAATTTGCCTAGAAAAACCACAACAGTAAAAAAAAATGCTGGGGTTGGTTCTGCAATATCCTGTAAAGGATATGCAACTAACTAACAAACTAACCGCCATTGAAACAGCCCTGTTCTAGATGCACCAGACATATGGTGATCATTCAATACTTTTAATGACCACCTGAACTCCATGTGTTTCTCACATAGCATTCAATGCCTAGGTGAAGAATTTACTAGCTGAGCTGCAAGTTAACTGCATAACTTTTACAGGTCATCACAAACAAACCCCAGCATTTGTTAGCTGTTCACGGTTTTATTTGGAAATATTATTGTGTTCTCCAAACCCCCCCCCCCCCCCCCCCCTTTTCCTACATGCATGCATACACATCTTCTTATGCCACTTAAATACCTGTTTAAATACCTGGGTATCCTGATAACAGCAGAAGAAAGTTGTATTTTAAAAGTTAAATATAGAATCCCTCAAACAAAGACAAGATTTCACAAAAAGAAGAATATTCTATGCAATGTTTCTTCGTTAACTGAGATGAGACAGGGAATTCTCAAAAGCTATATAAATCATATCTTGATATACAGATGTAAATCACAAGACACTTGGTCGATAAGGGAAAAATTATATGGAAGCAGCAAATTGTGGTTTTACAGAGGAATGATGAAAACACGCTAAACTGATAAAAAAGTGTAATGAGGATGTCTTGAGAGAAACTGACTCATGAGGAGAAGTGATTGCCCACAGCACAGCACTCTAACCACTTGGTCAGAAGCTTATTTACCTATGTGAGCATGTCTGAGGAACTGTGAAAGTTGACACATCTTTGTTATTTGTCTCTTGGAATTCTGATTATATTTCTTATACCCTGACACCTGGAAAGCTGCTGCACAAGATAGGTTATACCCTGACACCTGGGAAGCTGCTGCACAAGATAGGTCATACCCAGACACCTGGGAAGCTGCTGCACAAGATAGGTTATACCCTGACACCTGGGAAGCTGCTGCACAAGATAGGTTATACCCTGACACCTGGGAAGCTGCTGCACAAGATAGGTTATACCCTGACACCTGGGAAGCTGCTGTACACGATAGGTTATACCCTGACACCTGGGAAGCTGCTGCACAAGATAGGTTATACCCTGACACCTGGGAAGCTGCCGCACAAGATAGGACAATACAATGGTCCTCATCAGTTGTGATGGATGAATAACATAGTTCTCTGTTCCTTCACCAAGCTTTTCCTTTCATTCTGTATAACATCATGATTACATATACCAACAAAAAAAAACAAAAAAAAAAACAATAACAGGCCTACCTCCATCTTTCTTTCTCTGACAACTTCTTCAAATCAATGCCTGTCTGAGAGAAAGCAGAAACATGTCTATACACTAAGCAGACTAAAACCAGATTTATTTCTACAACATGTCACATTCAACAGACAGGTGAAACTATATCTGTGTCTACAACATGAAATACACAACAGACCGGTAAAACTAGATCTGTGTCTACAACAAGAAACACACAACAGACTGGTAAAACTAGATCTGTGTCTACAACATGAAACATACAACAGACACTAGAAGTGGCCAGCATTTTAAACAAAGCTTAATTGTCTTCCGCATTTATACCCCAACTGAAGCCACTACTAATTATCACAGGTAAAAGGAGATAAGTCATAAATCAATCCATCTCCCAGGTGAATGGAAGTAAGTCATAAATTAATCCATGTCCCAGGTGAATGGAAGTAAGTCATCAATCAATCCATCTCCCAGGTGAATGGAAGTAAGTCATAAATTAATCCCTGTCCAAGGTGAATGGAAGTAAGTCATAAATTAATCCATGTCCCAGGTGAATGAAAGTAAGTCATCAATTAATCCATGTCCCAGGTGAAAGAAAGTAAGTCATCAATTAATCCATGTCCCAGGTAAATGAAACTAAGTCATCAATTAATCCATGTCCCAGGTGAAAGAAAGTAAGTCATCAATTAATCCATGTCCCAGGTGAATGGAAGTAAGTCATCAATTAATCCCTGTCCCAGGTGAATGGAAGTTAGTCATCAATTAATCCATGTCCCAGGTGAAAGAAAGTAAGTCATCAATTAATCCATGTCCCAGGTGAATGGAAGTAAGTCATCAATTAAACCATGTCCCAGGTGAAAGAAAGTAAGTCATCAATTAATCCATGTCCCAGGTGAATGGAAGTAAGTCATCAATTAATCCATGTCCCAGGTGAATGGAAGTAAGTCATCAATTAATCCATGTCCAAGGTGAATGGAGGTGAGTCATCAATTAATCCATGTCCCAGGTGAGTGGAGGTGAGTCATCAATTAATCCATGTCCAAGGTGAATAGAAGTAAGTCATCAATTAAACCATGTCCCAGGTGAATGGAAGTAAGTCATCAATTAAACCATGTCCAAGGTGAATGGAAGTAAGTCATCAATTAATCCATGTCCCAGGTGAATGGAGGTGAGTCATCAATTAATCCATGTCCCAGGTGAATGGAGGTGAGTCATCAATTAATCCATGTCCAAGGTGAATAGAAGTAAGTCATCAATTAAACCATGTCCCAGGTGAATGGAAGTAAGTCGTCAATTAATCCATGTCCCAGGTGAATGGAAGTAAGTCATCAATTAATCCATGTCCCAGGTGAATAGAAGTAAGTCATCAATTAATCCATGTCCCAGGTGAAAGAAAGTAAGTCATCAATTAATCCATGTCCCAGGTGAATGGAAGTAAGTCGTCAATTAATCCATGACCCAGGTGAATGAAAGTAAGTCATCAATTAATCCATGTCCCAGGTGAATGGAAGTAAGTCATCAATTAAACCATGTCCAAGGTGAATAGAAGTAAGTCATCAATTAAACCATGTCCCAGGTGAATGGAAGTAAGTCATCAATTAATCCATGTCCCAGGTGAATGAAAGTAAGTCATCAATCAATCCATGTCCCAGGTGAATAGAAGTAAGTCATCAATTAAACCATGTCCAAGGTGAATAGAAGTAAGTCATCAATTAAACCATGTCCCAGGTGAATGGAAGTAAGTCATCTATTAAATCATGTCCCAGGTGAATGGAAGTAAGTCATCAATTAAACCATGTCCCAGGTGAATGGAAGTAAGTCATCAATTAAACCATGTCCCAGGTGAATGGAAGTAAGTCATCAATTAAACCATGTCCCAGGTGAATGGAAGTAAGTCATCAATTAAACCATGTCCAAGGTAAATGGAAGTAAGTCGTCAATTAATCCCTGTCCAAGGTGAATGGAAGTAAGTCATCAATTAAACCATGTCCCACGTGAATGGAAGTAAGTCGTCAATTAATCCATGTCCCAGGTGAAAGAAAGTAAGTCATCAATTAATCCATGTCCCAGGTGAAAGAAAGTAAGTCGTCAATTAATCCATGTCCAAGGTGAATGGAAGTAAGTCGTCAATTAATCCATGTCCAAGGTGAATGGAAGTAAGACATCTATTAAATCATGTCCAAGGTGAATGGAAGTAAGTCGTCAATTAATCCATGTCCAAGGTGAATGGAAGTAAGTTATCAATTAATCCCTGTCCAAGGTGAATGGAAGTAAGTCATCAATTAATCCATGTACCAGGTGAATGGAGGTAAGTCATCAAATCACTCCATCTCCCAGGTGAATGGAGGTGAGTCATCAAATCAGACTCCTAAAAGCTTTCTTTCCATCATGCAGTACTTTATTTGGAACATAAATAAATCCCCTGGGGACCCTTGAGGCCACTGCAATATTACGATAATTAAACTGTAATGTTCTAATGGTACTCGGGACACAGGGGTGCTTTTGGGACACAGAGGTGCTTTCAGGACATAGAGGTGCTCAACCACACGTGTACGAGGACCAGGGGTCACAGTGGTTAACAACTATCGACACCTCTCTACAATCATCCTAGAGACAGGCTCCCTTCCTACTGAGAACTTGGCTGACACAGATAGGATTGACTTTTTCCTCACAATCGGAATGTGTCTGCCTTAGAGTTAGGGAACCAACAACAACTAAACAGAAATGAAACTGACCATAACCCAAAAGCAGTAACTATTACTCATTCACCTGAAGAGAAAAGTGCTCTTTGGGATACCTTGGAAATGATAGCCTGAATTTCATAATGTGTCATGTAATAATTCAGGGTAAAAACAATCCAGCATTCACACGAGCTTGACTTTCATTGAGTAATGTGTAAAATTTCAGTGTGAGAGCAGTCCAACATACATGTTAGTGCACCATATGTTGCAGTTAATAATTAGATAATTACAGTCAGAACCGAACTCATGTGATAGAGGTCATAAACAGCCCATATGATTCACTGATGTCTCCCACAGAAACACATGATTAAAGTTAAAACACACCAAACAAATAAGCTATAAGTTTTAACTTTATGTATTTTCCTAAAAGTTATTTTAAAAAAGAGGCACAGATATTGCAGTCTATCTATAAACCTACACACATATACCTCTTATAATAGCTTTATAAACATCTAACTTAATGAAGAGTATAGGAAACATCTCTAGCATATAGTAGGTGACGGATAAAAGTATAGGAAACATCCCTAGCATATAGTGGGTGATGGATAAAAGTATAGGAAACATCCCTAGCATATAGTGGTTGATGGATAAAAGTATAGGAAACATCTCTAGCATATAGTAGGTGACGGATAAAAGTATAGGAAACATCCCTAGCATATAGTAGGTGACGGATAAAAGTATAGGAAACATCCCTAGCATATAGTGGGTGATGGATAAAAGTATAGGAAACATCTCTAGCATATAGTGGTTGATGGATAAAAGTATAGGAAACATCTCTAGCATATAGTGGGTGATGGATAAAAGTATAGGAAACATCTCTAGCATATAGTAGGTGACGGATAAAAGTATAGGAAACATCCCTAGCATATAGTGGGTGATGGATAAAAGTATAGGAAACATCTCTAGCATATAGTGGGTGATGGATAAAAGTATAGGAAACATCTCTAGCATATAGTAGGTGACGGATAAAAGTATAGGAAACATCCCTAGCATATAGTGGTTGATGGATAAAAGTATAGGAAACATCCCTAGCATATAGTGGTTGATGGATAAAAGTATAGGAAACATCCCTAGCATATAGTGGTTGATGGATAAAAGTATAGGAAACATCCCTAGCATATAGTGGGAAAGAGAAGAATAAGAAGAGACTAAAAAAAAAGGTTACAATTTCTCCACTGCACATATAAACTACAACTGCAGATAAACATCTGCATTAATGAAGAGAACATGATTAAAGGGATGGGGGGGGGGGGGGGAACATTGTTTATTTCTCAGTAACTAAAAAATAGTATTCCATCTAGACACGTACGAACCATAACAGTTTTATAAACATCTACCTTGGCGAAGAAACCAAGAACGTTCTGGAAAAATCAAATGGGTAGTGGAGAGAGAGAGAGAGAGAGAGAGGGACGGTCAATTATTTATGTACAAATCCTCGATGCGAAATTTCAAACAGTACGTTTGGGCTGACAGGCCAGTACTTAACCACTGCCCTATCACAGCTACCATTTTCCCTAGACATACGTAAATTACAACCGTTTATAAACATTTGCCTTAATGAAGAGATGATGTATTTTCTGGGAACATGTCTACCATATAGTTTATTTCACTTCAACTAAAAAAGGTTACAATTTCTTCAACGTAGATATAAATCACTGCTGTCTATAACAAACATCTGCCTGAAAACTACTTGATCTTAACTTGTACGCAGAAGCAGATGTCCTTGAGTCAACTTATCTGGTAATCCCTGGGGAAAATTGATCCAGAAAATGAGTCACAGCTTAATATTGAACAACTGTGAAGTCGGTCTGTTTCTTCTGTAAACATTCAAGTTCCTTTTTGTTATTGTTAGTGTGGAGATTAGTTAAGTTGAGTTTAGTTGAGTTAACTCTTTGAGTCCCAAGGAACATATCATACGTTCATAGGTTCCTACCTAGAAGCCCGATGAACGCATGATGCGATGATTTTATTACTTACTTTACTACCCCCTAGGCAGGTGATGCTAAACCCCTTGGGACTCAAAGAGTTAAGAAATGATATCACATCACTCAGGACATTTCCATAAGCACTCTGCCCTATTTTCAGCAGCCAGTGCAGAGTTCCAATTCTAATGGTACCATTAGCAGTCTGAGTGTATGTCCGTCTTGCCTTTATCCTGGGTGTTGGTCAGATCTGCTGGTCACTCCCCTATAAACCATTCTCTTCAGACTGTGATGAACTATAAGTGCCTCTGCATTGCTTCCTCCCCCTAAAAAGGCCCTGATAACATCTAGCTTGCTATGCATCAATTTACCACCAAGTGGTAACCAGTCAATCTGTGCATTCATTCCTCAACATACTTGTATAACCTGGAGAAAATACTGATGGATGACGACTAATTATAACATATGGAATTTAACTTTCTTGTATTTTTTTTTTAAATATTTCCTTAAATCTACAGGTTATGGGTAATAAACTATTGTGAGGTAGCTGTGAGGTACCTGTTTTGTCTGCAAAAAATAGACAGAGAGATCGAAGCAAGAATCCAACAAGCCAACAATGTCGCATACCAGCTTGCCCCAATTTTAAAACACCCTGCTGTCCCAGCTGAGATAAAAAGACAAATTATAAATACAATCTTTATACCGACATTAGGTTATCAATGTCAGACTTGGACATTTAACAAAAGAACACGAGAGAAGACTAACCACCTGTGAAATGAGATGTTTGAGAATGGCTGCGAATAAAACCAGAAGAGATCGAGTGAGAAATGATGTGATTACAAGAACTATTGGAACCATACCCATCGTTAAATTTATTGAGAAGCAAAGAATGAAATGGTTTGGTCACCTAATGAGAATGGAACCAACGATGCCAGCATCAAGAGCATACAACATGAAAATCGAAACACCAAGAGGCAGGGGAAGACCAAGAAGAAGATGGATTGAAGGAGTCACGGACAACTTGAGACTTCATAACATCACAGCATATGAAGCGACTGAGCGCGCCCTGGCCTGGTTGCCGATCATCTGATAGACTGCGACGCCTAGCGGCACAAGCAGATTTTGACAAAAGAAAGAAGAAAGAACACACCTGTATAAACTGGAGAAAACACTGATGGATGATGACTAATTATAACATATGGAATTTAACTTTCTTGTATTTTTTTTTTTTTATATTTCCTTAAATCTACAGGTTATGGGTAATAAACTTCTGATTTGTTACTGTTAATGTCTGTTACATATGAAGTTCAATTTCTTTGGTGTTTTTTAAACACTATCACTACAGGAACACAATGGGTCAAGACGCTGTTGAAAACCCACAAAAAAAATTATTTTTTAAAAATAAAACAAAAGTTGTTTTATAGGTCACCAATAAATTTGATTCATTTATGCACATTTCTTCAGTTTTTCACAAATATATACAGAGATTACAGAGAGTAATCATTAAACAAGAACAGGGTGAGATAGTAATGCACTGACTAACATGATCACATGTTATGCAATTGGCTGATGTTTACGCCTGGCTACCACATGATCACATTTTTAGGTGCCCGCATCCATGTTTAAATTGGGAGTTTGTGTTAAATGTAGTTGAAACCATTAGTCTATTTATATCTCTATGTTCCTTTGAGGCAAACAACTATGTAGTGCTTATAGTATGATCTTCACGGCCTGTATTTATCCCTTTTCTAAACTCTTGATGGACTATCCTTACTGCCTGTATTTATCACTTTTTAAAACTCTTGATGGACTATCCTTACTGTCTGTATTTATCACTTTTCTAAACTCTTGATGGACTATCCTTACTGCCTGTATTTATCACTTTTTAAAACTCTTGATGGACTATCCTTACTGCCTGTATTTATCACTTTTTAAACTCTTGATGGACTATTCTTACTGCCTGTATTTATCCCTTTTTTAAACTCTTGATGAACTATCTTTACTGCCTGTATTTATCCCTTTTTTAAACTCTTGATGAACTATCTTTACAGCCTGTATTTATCTCTTTTCTAAACTCTTGATGAACGACCTTTATTGCCTGTATTTATCCCTTTTTTAAACTCTTGATGAACTATCCTTACTGCCTGTATTTATTCTTTTTTTAAACTCTTGATGAACTATCCTTACAGCCTGTATTTATCCCTTTTCTAAACTCTTGATGAACTATCTATACTGCCTGCATTTATCCCTTTTTAAACTCTTGATGAACTATCTTTACTGCCTGTATTTATGTTTTTTTAAAACTCATAATGAACTATCTTTACTGCCTGTATTTATGCCTTTTTTAAACTCTTAATGAACTATCTTTACTGCCTGTATTTATCCCCTTTTAAACTCTTGATGGACTATCTTTACTGCCTGTATTTATCCCTTTTTAAACTCTTGATGGACTATCTTTGCTGCCTGTATGTATCCATTTTTTTAAACTCTTAATGAACTATCTTTACAGCCTGTATTTATCCCTTTTCTAAACTCTTGATGAACTATCCTTACAGCCTGTATTTATCCCTTTTCTAAACTCTTGATGAACTATCTTTACTGCCTGTATTTATGTCTTTTTCAAAACTCTTAATGAACTATCTTTACTGTCTGCATTTATCCCTTTTTTTTTAAAACTCCAAATGAACTATCTTTACTGCCTGTATTTATGCCTTTTTTACACTCTTGATGGACTATCTTTACTGCTTGTATTTATCACTTTTTAAAAACTCTTGAAGAACTATCTTTACTGCCTGTATTTATTCCTTTTTTTAAACTCTTGAAGAACTATCTTTACTGCCTGTATTTATCCCTTTTTTTAAACTCTTGAAGAACTATCTTTACTGCCTGTATTTATCCCTTTTTTTAAACTCTTGAAGAACTATCTTTACTGCCTGTATTTATTCCTTTTTTTAAACTCTTAATGAACTATCTTTACTGCCTGTATTTATTCCTTTTTTAAACTCTTGATGAACTATCTTTACTGCCTGTATTTATTCCTTTTTTTAAACTCTTGATGAACTATCTTTACTGCCTGTATTTATTCCTTTTTTTAAACTCTTAATGAACTATCTTTACTGCCTGTATTTATCCCTTTTTTAAACTCTTGGAGGACTATCTTTACTGCTTGTATTTGTGCCTTTTCAAAACTCTTGATGAACTATCTCTACTGTCTGTATTTATGCCTTTTTAAAACTTTTGATGAACTATCTTTACTGCCTGTATTTATGCCTTTAATTTTTAACTTTTTACATACTAAACAACACATCATGTGGGACTGGATATTAGCGCTAACATGAAAACAATTTAGGTATTTTTGTTATTCTCAACTCTCTCAGTTCCTGGGGTTTACCATCAGAGGTTCAAAGGGTAGTAAAGAGAGAAATAAAATCGCCACATCTTGGTTCACTGGGGTTCTAGCTAGGAACTTATGATGAACATATGAGGCATTCACCGAGACTGAAATAGTTTAGTTTAGTCAGTGCAACACATTTGTTTTCTACGATTTGCTGTATCTTTTGTCCCTGCAGGTGTAGTACAGCTATGATTTCGTTGTCATTGCTGTCGTAAACAAGTATCAGATATGATCGTTTCTTTTGGGACTGAAAGAGATGACTGATGAGTTCAGGTGTTTTGTAGGGCGGTAGGAAAAAGGAGGAGGAGAGGGAGAGGCTATGTGGTATTGAACCAGCGGATTTCGGACAGGTTTAAACTTTTATTATTGCCCCCGTCAGACAAAAAAAAATACACTTCGCATTAACAAGGAGTCGAGTTTCCTCTAATCTCACCGTTGTCGCATTGTCACTGTCAAAATGATCCGAAATCAACGTAAGGCTTACAAGCGGTCTGCTAGAAAACAAAATCAAAAAAAAAAAATTCAAAATCGCCTGCAGATTATTTTAACCCCTGAAATGTCGAGATAAAGAAACTACATTCACAACTGCTAAGCCACAGACACTGTTAAAAAAAACACAAAGTATCACACATAAATGAAAGCATCAGTATTACAATATTCAAGTGCTTCTCTCCATGCCAACCGTCTTCATGGTTGGCCATATTTGACGTCGAATGTTTATTTCCATCCAGCCTTACTTCCCTTTTGTTTTGTAAAATCTTGTTCACGCCGGATAGAAAAATAAACGAATAAAATACAACCCAGCAAAAGGCATGCACTGAACGCAATTTGAGATTCGGAAGTTCAATTATGGAGTGAGAAGGGCACCTTCCCCCGCCCCCTTTTTTTCTTCTACACACAGGGGTATCATTGGCACCTTTCCGTCTTTCCAGATGATAGTGTTATTTCGCGCTATGAGGAGGATTGAGACTCACAGCCCATAGCGATGGCGAGTGGGACTAGCTAGACCCGCCAATGATAGCATGGAATTTCAGGACCATTGTTAACAACATTTGTGTTTAATCCGTTTCTTTTCAGACGCTCAGCTCTCATCCTTTCTGCAATCATTTCTTCCTTCAGTCTCATTCCCTTCCTGATATGCCCTTTATACACAACACGGTTCATGGCATTTTGTTCCCATGAGTCCGCCTCAATACCTGTATTATTCATGTCCCGCTTGCGCACATCTTTATAGCGTAGTAGAGATCGGCCTCGACATCTTCTTCTTGTCTTTAATTCCCCATAAAGGGTGTCCTTAGGGACTCTGCCATTCTCCATTCTCCAGGTGTGACCCAGCCACCTAAGCATTCGTAGACTGAGCATGGAAAAGACTGTTGTAGTACCTGCTCTTTCCAGTACCTCAATGTTTGGGATTTTGTCCTGCCACTTAATGCAAAGTATTCTTCTTATGCATCGCACGTGAAAGCTATTCAGCCGTCTCTCTTGGTGCAAATAGGTTGACCAAGTTTCACTACCATAAAGCTTAGACACAAGCCTGATAGTGTGGCACAGTCGTGCCTATACATCCCCCAAGAAATAGATGTGCCTAAGTCGGCCAAGTGGAATGAATATAGTTCGTATCTCTTCTTTAAGAAATACTCAAGAACAAGGCCAGTGATGTAATCAATTACATAAGAGCTTTTTTATTCATAATATTCTCGTCACACACATTTCATAAATTCAATAAGCAATAGTATATGAACACTTCTTATTACTGGCTATTCGTATGCCTCTATGAGTTCCTTAACCACTGTTCTGGCTAAACTCCAAGTTTAACGTATACCTTCTAAACCAAGTAAAGCACTAGTTTTCTCCTAACCGGTTTTCTCTAGCGATCCAGCCCTAACTGTCCTCTCCCAGCGGTTCCGGGGCTAACTCACTGTTCTAGCTAAAACTCCAAGTTTAACATATACCCTTCTAACGAAGTACAGCACTAGTTTTCTCCTAACCGGTTTCTCTAGCGGTCTAGCCCTAACTGTCTTTCTCATGGCGGTTCCGGGCTAACTGTCCTCTCCAGCGGTTCCGGGACTACTAACTCCTCAAGCCCCTGGCTCTGACTTT